ACGATCTCGTGACAGAAATCGCCGCCGCCGCCCCCGCCCCCACACTCGTCTGTCCAGATGAACTACCCATCTCCATCGCCGTCCGACACTCGTCTCGTTCGCCGTCCGACACTCGTCTCATTCGCCGTCGCGCAGCCAATGCACGCCGGCCTTGTACGATCTGCTCGCCACCACCGCTGATCCCCTTACTGAACCCATCTGATGGCGGCGCCGACCCATCTTTGGATGCTGCATGCGGCGACAATGGCAAACAAGAAGACATCAACGTACGCCACCACCATCGCCGGTTTGCAGGGTCCCGCTAACCGCTTTGAAGGCCTTCAGTTTGACACGGAGAAGTCCTGGGCATGGGTTCGAGATGATGCATGACGTGGTGGCGAGGGCCACAATGGCCAGGGAGCAAGCTGATGGCATCAAAAGTAAGTAACGATCATAGGCTTGTACCTTACGTGATTGCTCCCGTGCTTGTTCACATGATTGCTCGATCTCCTGCTTGTTCACATGATTGCTCTCTTGCTTGTTCCCTGTGTAATCGCAACAACTATTGGTGGTGATTGTGAGTTTGTGACTGTGCGGTTCACGCATCAGTGGCACATCCAAATCAACTCCACTAATAAATTGTGCTCTCCATTATAAGATTGGGTAAATTTTTTCCGGTGGTCAGTGGTATGCCGGGAAGCTTTCAGTTTGGATCTTGTTGGAGATTCTCCATGTAGCCTTCTTGGTTCTGAATCCAAAGTGCATGGTAATCCTGAAGAGTTTGACTCCTTGAATCAGAGGAAACCAAGGTTAGCATTAGTCCCCACAATAACTTGGCTTGCATGCAGTAATATTTTGGGAGTGGAGAAAGAGAGCAAGAATTCCACAATACATACGATCAATTGGAGGGCTTCTAACCGTTTTTACTTTAGCTAATTTTATCATGTCAGGAGCCTGCTCTGTTAATCCACTCAAAACCTTTTGCATAACACAACCACGGAGCGAAGCCAGTTATTTCTACCATGTAGTTTGTCATTGTGATTTGATTTTTCTTTCTTCCGTAGCAACACACTGTACTTACACCTGTAGAAGAACAACATTAGTGATGAAAGCTTGGTATGCCGGGAAGCTTTCAGTTTGGATCTTGTTGGCAATTCTCCATGTAGGCTTCTTGGTTTTGAATCCAAAGTGCATGGTAATCCTGAAGAGTTTGACTCCTTGAATCAGAGGAAACCAAGGTTAGCATTAGTCCCCACAATAACTTGGCCTGCATGCAGTAATATTTTGGGAGTGGAGAAAGAGAGCAAGAATTCCACAATACATACGATCAATTGGAGGGCTTCTAACCGTTTTTACTTTAGCTAATTTTATCATGTCAGGAGCCTGCTCTGTTAATCCACTCAAAACCTTTTGCATAACACAACCACGGAGCGAAGCCAGTTATTTCTACCATGTAGTTTGTCATTATGATTTGATTTTTCTTTCTTCCGTAGCAACACACTGTACTTACACCTGTAGAAGAACAACATTAGTGATGAAAGCTCTTGGTTTCCCCCGGCACACTCGGATATATATTGCTACAGGTGAAATATGTGATGGTGAAAAAGATTAACTGCATTGAATACAAAGTTCCCTAACATAGCGTATGTGCACAAGGTTGCTTCTTATCTGATGGTGAACTACACCTCTTCCAATAACCACTCGACCCAAATGGCAGCCCTGGAATATCTTGTTTCTGTCATAGGTGATGTTTTTATTCCCTGTCCTGATGGAAACATGGCTAAATCATTTCTTCTTGCCACCATGGATATGCATTAGTATGACATGGTTAGCTGGGGCGAACGTGAGAAGAAAATAAATATTTGCATACACACAGGGTTGTAGTGTATAGCTCTCATGTGAATGCAGACGTTTGTTTTGAAAATCATGACTATCGTCAGCAAGAATGAACCCAGCAAAATAATTTATTTCTTTTTCTTTTTTCCTTACGATCCAATCAATGGACCGGGTTCCACTATCAGCAAAATAATTACCGAAGGTTAACTCAAAAGTGTACATGTTGCAACTGTATGTTAATGGGCTTCCACATGGGTTCATCATTCTTAACCAACATCAACTGTTGGGACTCTGGCGTATATTTCTCTTCAATATGGTCGCAAGGTATAATCCATTCTCTTTGTGCTTTAAACTGTCTCGTGCATACTCTGCCATATGTTGCCCGGTTATTTCATTTTGCTAGGCCATAAAAGCTTTACTTGCTTTCTGAATCTTACATCCACCTTTTGTTGGCATGAGTGGTGCATAGTATTTAGGCGCAACCATTTAAATATTTTTGGTTTTATTTGCTGAAGCACTACTAATTTGTCTTTGTATGGCAATAGATGATGTGTGGATGTGGGGCCATCCTTTACGCGATGTTGGTTGGTACCTACCCTTTCGATCAAGATCACAAGAATTTTGAAATGACAAGTCAGGTATGTTGCCAGCCGTTCAACTTAGCAATTCCACAAGTTGTACTTCTTGGCAAAACAACAAAATACTGAACTCATATTGCACAAATTATTAGGTGTTTAGTGTTCAATTCCACAAGTAGCTGCAGCCTTCCACCTTATGAACAAGTTCTGTCAAGATGTAGATGGTCAGGAGGTGCGATCCCATCAAAGTTATGTTCAAAGCTACAACTTGAACCTGAATCTCTATTGCAACGTAAATATGTGGTTTGTGCCAAGAAAATTCAGTTAGCTGTATGATTCTATTTTTGGTGTTCGTTTCTATTAAAAGTTAAAACCGTAAGTGAAATATGTTTCTTATCGGAGTCAATTGCATGAACATTGAACATGTCAACACTGAACAGTGTATCGACCACCCATCCTGTATTACAGGATGAACATATATACATCATTTGTACATGGCGAGCATGGAGCGAAAACCATCCAGATACCAGTTTGCCAACCAGTCCAAGTTCTAAGCGGGGCAAGCGGGCGTGCGAGTGGCAAGCAACGGACTATAGCCATTATATTCTGAGCGATCCATAGGAAAGTAATTATCTTATATGTGATTCTTTTTTCAAATTAAATTAAATTGCAGTTGTCTTAAGTCCTGTATAAAACCTCATTAGGTTGTAACGACCATTACTGATCAATGCAAGAGTTTTAGTTTCTTGTCAGATTTGTGTAGCTCTTGTGTCAGGAAGAAGAGGATGGCTGCTTTGTTGGTAGTTATAATTTTTCTAACACTGAAAAATGAAAGGAGTTCATTATCTCCGAGGAGGAGCACACCCGTGCCATTAAGTAGGAAATTAGCAAAGTTGCTAAGATCGGAGAATACCTTGACATTGATGTGCTTCTTCATGGACAGCCTGAGGTCAACATCCTTCTATTAATAATGTTTAGTGTTAACAAGACCTTGTGCCATGCTTAAGAAAATCGATGTTATTTTATTATAATTGACAATTTTTGGTTCTACATTTAAGTGGTTTGATATGTACTCCCTCCGTTCCTAAATACTTGTCTTTCTAGAGATTTCAACAAGTGACTACATACGGCGCAAAATGAGTGAATCTACACTTTAAAATATGTCTACATACATCCGTATGTTGAGTCCATTTGAAATGCTTAGAAAGACAAGTATTTGGGAACGGAGGGAGTATTTGATAGAAGAACGATATGGTTGAGTATTTCGGTGAGCAGCTCACTGGTTTTGCATTCACTGCCAATGGGTGGGTGCAAACTTTTGGATCAAGCTGTGTCAAGACATCAATTATCTATGTTGATGTGAGCCACCCCAACTCCACGGCAGTGTTCTGGTACAAGAGCCGAGTCCGGTATGAGAATGAGGAGAGCTGCAAGGTGGGCATGGTACACTGGTGATGGCTGCCAGAGGAGGTAGCCATCATCATATACGCATGGTTGGTGGAATCTTCCTTGGACTGTGAGGTTTGTATCAGCAGCTTCAAGGGAAAATACCCTTTGGAACATGGTGGTAATTACACCTGGTTACGTATTTTATTTTTAAAAATTTCAGAAATAGTCAAAACGTTCCAAAAACTTTTTCGCAATAAACTTTCCGGCGTACAAAAATGTTCTGCAATGAAATATTCCCTGAAAAAATCTGACAAAAATGACATATATTCTCTGACAATAGCGTGAACAGTACTGTCGTATATAGCGACAAATTTGTTTTTTACGCCCACAACAACATGAAAGTCATTTCTTCGTGAACATTTTTATACGAGTGCAACAATAATTCTACTTTGTTCGCAAAAAGTTTCAGATTTTTTTTTGACTTTCTTATAAATTACTATTTTGACAAGTTTGGGTGTAATTATACCTGAGAGCCATACGTTCCCGTCCCAGCTTCAAGCCATGTTTTAATTTATTGAGGCAACGATTCTCTCGATCGCGGGACTCATTTGGTGCCTTATTTTAGTGAATAGGCAATCATAGTTTTTATATTTTGATTAATTGTGTTATGAATGAATACATAAATCTCATCATCAAAGTCTTTACTCTAACCTTGAGGTAGGAGGATTCATACTGAGTGGAACTATGAGCTCTAATGCAATGCTAAAACAAGGAGATGACTTTGCGATTTATGATGTATGACATTGCTAAATTGTTTTAGGGATTGTTGAATTTGTCATAACTTAGAGGGAGTGGATGAAAATGCTGCAGGCCATTAGAAGTTAGGGACGATGGGAATGGCGATGGCAATTTGGCGACTTAGACAGAAGGCACGTGGATTTGGAGCAAGGTGGAAATGTAATAGCTGAAGTAGAGCGACTCATGATATATTCATTTGTTTTTCCGTAGGTTAGGGATGATAGAAATTAGTATGTAGGTCCGGGGTGATGTGAATGACTACGACAATTTTACAAACTTGAAGAAAGCATAGGAGAATTTATAGCGCGGTAACAAATGACTCAATGACTGAAGTGTTGAAGCTGAATGACCTTGCAATAGATCCCCTATAGACCCGTGGCAACGCACGGGCATTCAACTAGTATTATCTAAACGATGATATCACGAGCTCTCAGTTGTATCCATCTTCGAAGCTTCCTCGACGCCCTTGAAGGCCACTCGCAGCTTCCTCAGCGATGACACTTTCTTGCCATTGCTCTCCGCCATACCACTAACATGCACAGTAGCAAATGGGGTTCCTTTAAGGAGCTCAAACATGGGGATGCTCAGGTTTGGCCGTGTCATCTGCTCAAGAACTTCTGGCGACTGCATGTACAGATTGTTGCCTCCGTGCGTTACGCTAGCTTTTGACATCAGCAATTTGGGGTGCTCCTCAAGCATCTTGATGAACTGTCCATGATAAGTGGAAAGGGGATTCAGAAATCTACAGGCACACAGGCTCCGTATGCACAACAGTACATTCTCTATTCAGTGCCATTTTAGAATTATATGTTGATGCAACTAGGAACATAAACCTAGGTATTAAACTGCCTAGTCTTTGTGTCAGTGAGGAAGTGTTTTCTTTTCAACTTTCTCGTTGTTCAGAATATAGTAAAACCCACTATTTGCTTTATTTATAAAGCGGGGCGAAAGCCTTTTTGGGTAAAACCCACTATTTTGAAATACCATTTTGCTGAAAATACGGCACATGTTTTGAAGTTTGCAGGCAATGCAGCAAAATATACTTGTCTTTTGAGCCAAATGATGTATTTTTTTACATGATGAATGCATTCATGTATGTGCACGTGTGAGCTAAATAAAACTTCATGTTTATGTATTTGAAAGTTAACATCTTAGCACCATCCATATTTTGTGTGCATATGTAGTTCATGATTCAGCTCAGCCCCTTTCAAGTCGATATATACCTTCATTATACGAATAGATGTGCACAAGGTATGCAAGTTTTTATGATTTGAGTGTTACTGACCTCCGAAAGTGTCGATGTTGTATCCAGCTCAATAAGGGTACCAGGCCCACATACAAGGCAATCTGTATCTCTAACAAACTCTGTGACTTTAATATGAGTTCCTACAAGACCATTGTACCTGCATGAGAACATAAAATAACTGTTAGGCTCTTCAAATTGGCAATGCGTCATGTTTTTGTAACCGAAATGCATCTCCTTCAGATATGGTTGTCAAACAAGTTACCAGCAACAATACCATGTGGTGTATGTAAACAATATTTTGAGGGAATATGGCGACATATGATACAATAAGTCAATAACCAATTTTAACCAAATGATTTCAACCAATCAAGGATAGAATAGAATGCTATCACAAGACAAAAAAAGAACCTCAAGCAAATAATAGCTATGTAGTTTGGAATGAAAAATAATATTTATTTGCCACATGATTAAGAGAAAATAATAGCTAGCCAAACACCCAAATCAATAGGAGCAATTCAAGAAAATTAGATTCATAATGCGCCACATTGCTAATGAAGCTTTACTTCTGAATGTGTGCGCTCAAATAACCGAAGAGTTTCTTTCAACAAGCTGTATTTGTCTCGAAATCAGAAAGTTTGCATGTTCCTTTTTCAAAAAAGCTTTGCATGCGAGATATTGCCTACCGCGAACAGACGTGAATAATAGTGAAGATTATATGTTTTCCTTTTGTCATCAATTGAAAGTTGGTGTGTATGGTTCATTTATAATTTATTATCTAAAATATTAGTCTGTTTGGAATCTGTTGCTTAGGTTGTCAGACATGTGCGCCTGCAGTTTTATCCAGTTCATACACTGAAATAAACTCAGGTGAGTGAAATGAACCATTACAAGTAATACAACATGAATCAACCTATCATTTTCTGAATACTCTTATGGTGTGCCTTCCTGACTAACCAATGCATGGTCCACTTTGCTGCAGGAGTTTTGGCATGTATGTTTTGCATTCAAACAGTAATAGTTTTGGCTAAAAGATAAGAATAAAAGTATTTACAAGTAACACGATAAAAAAACTTCGGTCTTACTTTTTGGGGATACCGACTATTTGAGTAACAGAGTAAGAATGGGAGTAATGCAACTCACGTGAGATAATTTGACACGCTTTTGCTGCAGCCAGAGACAAGCTTCAAAGCTTCAAGTGCACATGCGGCAGAAATAATTGCATTTGTTGAAGCAATAGCTGGGATGATATTCTTGACAACACCCTGTAATCAGGAATACAAATTTCAATGCCCTCTTAAAATTAACAACTCTGTGCTTCCTGATTCCAAGATGTATACAACAGAAAAAATAATAAAATTGTACTTGGGTCATCTAAATAACTGAGAATCCAAATTAATTGGCCTGAAGGAATATAGAGGGATAAGAAAATTTGCAGATTAGATCACTGGCGCAACAATAGCAAAAATGCCTCCACATACTACGAAATGTGAAAAGGTTCTCTCTGAAATGCCTACTATCTGAAGGACACTAAGATACATTCTAAGTTGTGGGATTCCCATTAAGCGGTGGTAATTTTATTTTATAATTGACATTAAGTAGGCGGATGTAACAGACCAAAGAAGCATCAGTGGCATATAGAGAATTAGTTGCTGATAAACTAACTAAATGGCACAAAAACTTCTGTCAGAAGAAAAAATTGGACATAACGCAATACTGTGGAAATTAAACATTGACAAGCATGCTGAAGCTGCATAGGTGACAGCTAAATCATGTGTGAATAGATATTTTTTTGCACAAAGCAAAAGAGCAGCATGCAGAAAAGAGACAGAGATTATTGTGTGAATAGATATTTATTCAGAAAAATCATATGTAGGTGGTTTACAAGGCTAGTTAACTTTAAACGTTGCTATGATTAAACAAAACTTACACAAGTTATAAACTAAGACCATTCTTATTTACAACTTCTTAAATATCAATCTGTCCACTATTGAAGTGGATAATGCTACCAGTGCCAGCTTGCCCATAGTGCAAACCTGCACACAGCCTAATCCAACTACAAAATGATTATAACAGCAAATACTAGTAGCAAAATCACCTACTATTGGAGCACAGCAGACTACTAGAAAAACGAGATAATCTTAACAGGGCGGAATTTGGAGTATATGGCAGATATTGAATTTGAGCTGCATCCACACTCACTCACAAAACTTCCGACCAACCCAGCACTGGAATTTTCACCTTGCCAGCACAATATTGTTGGCCCCCTTTAACATGAATTTAACGTAATAAGGGTGGGTTTGCTTTGATATATAAAGGTATAAATAACAAAATACTATGATTCTGCCAAGAATTTTGATTGTTATTAGTTTTACGATAGAATGCATTATTAACGAGGGCACAAGCACAGTTCATGATAGAGGAGTATAACATTGAAACATTCTGGGATAGATAGGGATTAAAGTTACATCTTAGGCCTGGAGAATAAATAAACGGAGAAGATGACACACCTGAGTCAAAGAATACGTAACTCCAGAAATACCAAAAAGTTCTGCTCTCTTTAAAGCCTGTCAAGTATACATGACAAAAGATTAGACAGAAAAAAAGATAGGACACTATATAATTTTGTATGTCATCACACTAGAGCAAACCTCTGAATAAATCCACTGCATATGTTCTGTATCATCAGCATCAAAAGGTTTTCCACTGTGAACCTACAAGACAAAATATATTTGTTACAAATGAAAATAAATTAAAGGGCAAATTACAGATACAAGAATTATACCTCGTCCCATTTGATCAAATGAGCATACTCAATGCAATGAGCTGCAGTTCTTGGAGTCTCAGCAAGGGTACATAAGGGAAACTTGACCTGGGGAGGAAAAAGCCATATGTTGCATTCAAAGCAAGGCGTCGTCCCTGGTATAATGACTCTAGCGTGACCTTTGAAACCTTCTGTCCCACCATCTACCATAGGTTTAACTGTCTCCTGGACTGGTTTGTCGTCTGCGTCATACTCTGCAATTTCAAAGACATACCGGCATCAGTACATAAATGAAGGATATTATGAGTTTCATTGTGTAAATGTACTAGTTTCTCATCATTTGAGTCATAAACGGGCAAATACTACCTGTATTAAATTAGAGAACCTTGATTTTATCATTTTATGTGCAGCCCAACATACCGTTTTATTTGGGATGGAAATATTAACACAGAACAGTATTGATTCACATTTATCTCTAGCACTTTTTTTGCAAAACTTTCTTCAGTCTCAATCTATAGTTGCTATGAATGTGCATGCTATAGTCACTTGCAAATTTAAATTGGAATTTATACAAGGAAAGGACATATGAACACATTGCCGACCAAAGATATTTACTAGTTGAAGCCTTCTTTCCAAGTAAAAGACTAGAGATCCATAAAAACGGCATTGAAATATATACCTAAGAAACCACAAGCCACAGAATTGATGTAGCTTCGAGCTTCAATTGAGTCCAGACCAAGAACAATTATTTGGAACTGATTATAGAACTCTAGCTCTTTATCTTCAATCCTACAAAAATGGGGCACAATGTTCACTCCACTAACTCGCTCCATAACCCTCTTCGCAGCTACTTCAGCCTTGGGCTTCCCAACGTCTTGAATCCTGTACAAAATCACATGCAATGCTCATTGAGATGGTAACATTATAGAGAAACGTAAATAGAACATGCAAAATCCAAACAGATATACAGTTGATGCCGCAATAAAGTGAGGTTTTGGCCTTACTCGATGAGTAAGGCTTGGTTTGCAGTTGTTGTCCTGTGCAGTGCTTATGTTTACAGCTGCTGTCAATTCAATTATTTATTGTGTGTGTGAGAATCTATCACTGGTTTGGCAATCATACTGAAGTTAGACAAAGTGTCGTATTCAATGATTGGCCTCCAATGATCTTGCATGTTTATGACCACAATAATTGTTTGGCTGCTTGCAACTTGATTAAGAACAGGTAGCGTTTCAAAAAAAAATTAAGAACAGGTAGCAAAACATACAGTATCTATCTAATATCTTAGAAGGGATTCAATGACACAAGATTATCATAATCCACCGTGTACCATGCTGACCAAATTTTATGGAGAATGAGGATTCCTTTTTTACCAATATATTTGTTATTGCTTCAGAAACTCGCATAATATTTATCTAATATATACCATGGATAATGCGTTCTTGTAGTTATCTAATTTCTAATGTACCATGCCCACATAATATTTTCCAAATGCTGATATATTGTTGACATCACATCACATGGGACAAAAGTATATGTTAACCTGAAATCCTCTCTACTGTTCCTCACTTCCGGTCACTCAGAACTTGCAAATAATTGAACCCAGTTTCATTTTAGAGGACCTAACAGTAGAACGTCCTTCTATTTATCTATTCTCCAATCCGTACATTGCTCACTATCTATGCAAGCCAGAAATATTATCCCGTGGAGCAAACAACCTTAAATCTAGCGCTTAGCACGTGAACAAGGCAGCAAAGTTTAATACCACTATACTGCATAAACCCTATTCTTGTGTATAATCAGAAGGACTGGGTGTCGAGAAGGACCTGAAGAGGAACTGGCGGTTGAGGTTGGAGACGTCGATGGTGTCCATGTCGATGACGTGCAGGTTCTTGAACCCGGAGAGGGCGAGGTCCTTGAGGAGCTCGCAGCCCAGCCCGCCCGCCCCCACCACCAGCACCTCGACGTAGCTCCCAATAAGGTCCCGCAGCTGCAAGCACGGCGCAAGTAGCCGATTCAGTGTGAAATCGCGAGAAAGATCGAAAACGCCGGACAGGGGTTGGAGCGGTGGCGGCGGCGGCTCACCACGGGGCTGGGATCGAAGGTGGAGTGAACGAGGTTCCCGGGGCGGGAGAGGAGCATGTCCAGGTCTCTCCACCTTTCGGGCTCCGTTGGCGGCGGCGCCGCCGCGTCGGGGGAAGCCATCTCGCCTGCCTTTGGACGGGGGAATCTGTAGGATGTATCGTAGTCGAGGCGCCGAGGGTAGGGCGTGCGGCCGAGGTGGGGGAAGGAGACGAGAGAAATAACTCAGGACCTTGGAGTGTGCGGCTAGGATGCGTGATTTGTCAGATCGGACGGCTGCGGTTAGAGGCTGCAGCGCAAGGCAGCAAGCCTGGCCCCTCGAGCCTAGGTGAGCTAAAACAGTGAGAAAACCAACATCTGCATCTTTTTTTTTTTAGACAATACCAACATCTGCATCTATTAGGACGTGTTTGGTTGGTCGCATTAGGTTGGGCCAGACCTGCGCGGAAAGAATCTGACTTATTTGATTGTCTGGGCTGTATCAAAAACCTGGCCCGCACGAACCTCAAAGTAGGCATCAGCCTGGCTCTGGAGGAACGGCTGAATCGGTCGTTTTTTTGCGGTCCAGGCTCGCTCGAGCCACGTATGGCGAGCGCCTGCACGCCTTAGGACGCGCGGGAGACGACGCGATTGCTCATAACTTCCCACGCCCTCTCTCGTCACCTCCCTCGCCGGTTCACACCCACTCCCTCTCTCTCACCTCACCGCCCGTTCGGTTTCTCCGATGGCCACGCCGGCGTCTCGCCACGCCACACCCACTCCGGTCATCGCCGGCAGCAATCCCATCCAAGAGAGGTGGGTTGACGGCCACTCCGCGGCCGGAGTAGATCTGGCGGCGGCACTGCGAGCTCCCTCCCCTGTCTGCACCATGCCGCCGCCCCGGGCCAATGCAGCGCCGGCACCGGTCGCTCCGGCTCCGCCACCGGAGCCGGTGGTCCTCTCCATCGGCTCGAACATCGCGGGGATCCAATACCCGCCGGCGGCGTCCTTTGCAGGCCCCTCTTATGGGGGTATTTTACCCCCATAAGAGAGGTTTTCTCATCTGCGTCCGGTGCAAGGGGAGGGGATCTCGAGGACGTCGGTGTCATCTTCGAGCCGGTGCAAGGGGAGGGGATCTCGAGGACGCCGGCGTCATCCTCGAGCCGGCGCAAGCTGAGATGCACGGTCGCGGCCCTGGGAATGGTCGGGTCCTCTTCATCGGCGGCGGCAGCACCCCTCTTCCAGCCGGAGTTTTCACCACGGCCGGCGTACGCTACATCGTCAACCCCCACTGTAAGCTCTCTAATCCCCCTCTGCTTCTTAGTTGGGGTTCTTAGGGTAGTTCATAGTGTGCTAGAATAGATTGTGGCCCGTACATTCGACCCCATTCGACTGGATTCTACTAGATACGACCGGATTCGGTGATAATCCACTGTTTTGGGGATGAACAAGAGTGCATGCTTACTTTGTTCATCCCATATTCCTAGATTGTACATAATGTAGTGGTAGCTTGCATCGTTTTAGTGTCACATTGTTACTTTCTACTGCCAAATTGTTAGTTTGTAGTGCCACATTATGTGTTCTTGATGCTAATATTAGTGTATATGATACTGTTGTTAGTTCTTACTGATGTTGTTCATGCTACTCTTGTGCTGCTATTATTGGTGCTACTCTTCTTGCTGCTGTTGTTATGTTGCTCTTGTTGCTAGGGTACGTGAGTGCATGTGGCATGCAAGTAGGACATACCTAAATGCCAAAAATAGTATGTGCAAGTAGGACATGTGAGCGGTGGTTTCATATGACCAGTGTTAGCACTGATAACTATAACTGTCGGCGTTCTGGGAACGGGGGTCCCCAGACTTGCCTGCCTGCGGCCTGCGGCGTGGCTTAAAGGGGGGCCCAGCACGGCCCATCTTCACCAACACAGACCCAAGACCCTCGCGAGGGACCAAGCCTCGCGGGGCGGACGACGCAGAGCTTCCTCAGGTACGGCCTCATCGGGCTGGCTCACGAGGAGGCGGAGAGATCAAGGCGGGGTACCTCACGAGGTGCCCGTGACGCAAGCCATGACGACCAAAGGCGCCAGGCGGGTGCCAGCCCGCGCAGCGTCCTCCTTTCCTCTTTGGTGCAAAGGGAGCAAGCGCAGCCGCGGAGTACCGAGGCATCAGGCAAAGGTTGCCCTTTCGGTGCAACAAGACCAAGACCAGGAGGACTGCAAGACGGAGGTCATCGTGGAGCCTAAGACGGCGTCACCACCAGAGGTTTGTGCAGGCGAAGACTACTTTATCAGGATAGCTAGTACTAGTTGTCCCCCTTCAAATTTAGCCCGCCATTGTTGGCTCCCTTCCCGCTCGATATTTGGGAAGAGGACCAGGGCCTCTATAAATAGGACTAGCCACCCCCAGGGGAGAGGGGATCGAGAATCAGGGAGAGAGAGAATCAAGAATTAGAGAATTAGAGAGAGAGAGAAGGGAGACTGAACTCCTCCCAACAGTTCATCGCCCCAGCGAAGAGCAGACCCTCGTGAGGCTGTTCTTCCTTGTATTGTTCATCATCATCAGCCCAAGAGGCAATCCACCACACCATCCACTGGAGTAGGGTATTACACCACAACGGTGGCCCGAACCAGTATAAACCCTGTGTCATTCGTGTTGTTTTTCCACAACTTAGATCTTAGCAAGGCGGAGGGGTGCAGGTAGGTAGGAGGCGAAATCTCCGCGCGCACCCCAGTGTTCGAACCTCAAGGGTCTGCCGGAACCCTAAATCCGACATTTGGCGCGCCAGGTAGGGGTGCGCCGGAATTCGTCTTCCACCGCCCCGTTCTCCTCCGACCATCACGCCCATGTCTGACGCTCGTCGGGCCCGCGCCGAGCGCCGGGCCGCTCTCGCTTCCCGCGTCGCCCAGACGGCTCCTATCGGCGGGCGTTCTCGTCGTTCCCCGTCACCTGCCGTCAACGCCGCCACCGGCCCGACGGGGGACGAGCAGCAAGCATCGTCTCAGCATCCGTCCGTGCGGCAAGACGACCGCACCGCTACTCCCTCGCTCACCCCAGCTGGTTCTTCGTCCCGCGCGCTCCGCGCACCCATGGAGGCTCGAGCTGCGCTCATCGCGGCAAACGAGCTCCTGTGCTACCGACCCGTCGACGACGTCTACGAAGAATGGCTCGACCGCGTCGCCAAGCTCGTCCGCGCCGCAGGGGGCTCTCCTGCGCCGTCCGCTCCGCTGCACCGCACCCCGCCCTGCGCGGGCGATGAAGCTCCGGCGGCACCCCGGCCGCCTCCTCCACAAGAAGGCGCCATGGCTCCAAGGCGCGTGGCCCCTGGGCGGAACCCGCTCCGTCAGGTGCCAGCGCGGCAAAAGCAGAGCTGCCAAGAAGTCCCTCGCCCGCAAGAAGCTGCCCGGGCGCTCCCTATTCCAGCACGTCGCGACCATGCTCCTGCTCCCGCACGTCAAGACCTAGCTGCAGCGCGTGGGGACATGCAAGACCAAGCTCTCCGTCACCCAAGGCCTCCCGTGGCCATGGCAGGCTGCCGCGCCTTCACCACCGAGCTACGCAGCGTCGCGTGGCCCAGCAAGTTCAAGCCGGACCTGCCTCCTCGTTACGACGACATGGCTGACCCTGCGGAGTTCCTCCAGCTCTACGAGCTGGGCATCGAAGCTGCCAACGGAGACGAGAAGGTCATGGCGAACTGGTTTCCCATGACGCTCAAGGACGGGGCCCGCACCTGGCTCCTGAACCTGGCTCCGGGCACGATCTCCTCCTGGGACGAGATGCGCACCCGCTTCATCGCCAACTTCCAAGGTACTCGCGACCGGCCACCCGCCGTGAGCGACATGCGCCGCATCAAGCAACAACCCGGGGAGACCCTGCAGAAGTACATCCAGCGCTTCAACAATGCACGCCTCAAGATTCCCAAGGTGACCGAGGAGGCCATCATCTCAGCCTTCTACGACGGCGTGCGCGATGTCAAGATGAAGGAGGAGCTGGCGATGCATGAAGACCTGTGCACTTCCTTGGAGCTGTTCAACTTGGCGACCAAGTGCGCCAGGGCTGAGGAACGGCGTCTCTCCCTCCTCGAGTTGCCTGCCAAAGACCCAGAAGAGAAGAAGCCCAAGGCCAAGAATGTGAAGCGCAAGGGGGCTGCCGTGCTCGCAGCAGAACCAGACACCAAGCGGGGAAGAGATCAACCCGAACCTTCCAAGGGCAGCCGATACTGTGTGTACCACGACCTCCACACCCACAACACCAACGAATGTCAAGAGCTTCGAGCCGTGCGAGAAGGAAGGATCGGCCGTCGCCCCGACCGCGGTGACCGGGGCTACGGTCGAGGAGGAGGAAGGAACGCAGGACGCTGGGAAGACCGTGGCCCGCACCAAGGGTGGCGCGATCAACCTCGCGAGGATCGCTGGCAAGACCCGCCTCGCGAGGGAGACTGGAGGGATCAGCCTCGCGAGGATCGCCCGCATGGCAACACAGGCCTCCCTCCGCTGCCGCCGCAGCCAAGGAGAAACGAGGACCGCCACCAAGACGAGGGGGCTGGGGGCTTCCAGGAGCCGCGCGCGATCGCCTGCATCCTGGGCGGGGCTCAGGCCCCAGCCTCTCAACGCATCTTCAAGTAGTTCGCCCGCGAAGTGAATGTAGTCCTCCCCAGGCTTGAAGCCACGCGCCCTCTCGGGTGGTCGGCGTGCGCCATCACGTTCAGCTCAGCAGATCAGCTCAAGTGTGCGGCTACAACCGGAGTCCTCCCGATACTTTGTTCCCCAATCATCAGCAACATGGTGGTCACCAGGACCCTCATCGATGGCGGGGCAGGGCTCAACGTCCTGTCCGTGGAAACATTCAACAATCTCCAAGTGCCCTACAGCCAGCTTCAGCCAACCAAGCCCTTCTCCGGAATCACCGACGGCTCCACGGTCCCGATTGGGCAGGTTCGCCTCCCCGTCACCTTCGGGGCACGCGACAACTACCGCACCGAGCTCATCGACTTCGACGTCGCTCACATTCGCCTGTCGTACAACGCCATCCTTGGGCACCCAGCGCTGGCCAAGTTCATGGTCGTAACTCACCACAGCTACAACGTCCTCAAGATGCCAGGAAGTGGCGGAGTCATCACGGTGCCCTGTGAAGAGAAGGACGCGGTGT